GGGCTCGGCGCGGCGCGGGGCACGGGCCGGGGCCGCTCGGGGAGTCCGCGGGGTGCATCGCGCCGCAGGCAGCGGCCCGGGCATGAAAGCCATAGGTTTGAGCGTGCCGGGCGCTGGCGCGGGGCGGGGCAGGTCGCCGGACCCTCCCTTTTGTCTCGCCGGTTTGTGAGCGCGGCGTGGCCGGGGCGCATGCGCCGGGATCGGCCCAGCCCACGCCGGGGCAGCGCCTGCGCGTTGCGGGCCTGGCGAGGGTCCCCGGCTCGAGCAGCTCGTCGGAGAACCCCGCCCAGCCCGGAGAGGCCACTGGCTGCAGGGGCGCCGGAAGGCGGAGGACCGCGAGCGCGTCTCTTCGGCCTGCCCCCGAGAGCACTGGTTGAGTGGGCCTGTGCCGTCTGTCTAATGTGTGTCCTGTTGTGGGGTGTCGTGGCGCGGGGCCTAACGGCGAAGTGGGCTGTGCGTGAGGGCGCTGTCCCCACGTCCCCGGCCAGCGGCGAGTGGTAGGACCCAGTCCTTCATTTCCCGTGCGCCGCCTGGGCGGCCCTCCCTTTCCTCAAAGCCGTGCGTCGGGCGCTCGCGTCGTGGTCGCTGCGTCCTTGGCAGGCGTGTGAGTACTGCGCCACCGCCCCGAGTGCTGCTCGCGCAGGATTAGCCGAGGGCAGGGGCAGGGCGGCTGGGCCCCGCGCCACTGGGGACCGACGCAGATGCCCACAGCGTGCCAGCCCCAGCGCTGCGGGCCGAGCGGCTCGCGGCGTCCACGTGGCTCCTGCGCGGCCGGCCGCGCTGCTGACCCTGCCACCGGGCACCTCCGCCAGCTCTTGCCCGGGCCTCGGGCTTGCATTCGCCCGGCATAGCCGCGGGAAAGCATGAAAGATGTGGGTCATGCAAAGCGCATGGCCTCTCGGTGGGGGACGGGTTCCGGCAGAGCTGCTGTGACAGGTCTTGGAAGGGGCAGGCTTGTGCTCTAGCCGGCGGGGGTGGGTGGGTGGGTGGGTCGCCGCTGGACGGGGGTCGCCCGAAGAGGCTGCTTATGGCGACAAGTTTTGGGGAGGCCGCATCCGATCAGCGAAGAGCTTCTTGCACGCAGTTCAGGAGGACAGTATGGCAGAGAACTGGCCGGGTGAACCCTTGTACCAAGGCTCCTCCGCCTTTGACCTCTGACTTGACCTGTTGTGTTCTCGCCTGTGGGCCCAGATATGAGCTGAAAGTGGGGCATGTCACCGTGAATGGGCTTTGATTTGATGGCTCACCTGTACCAGGTGGCCACACCTGTACTTCAGTAGAGTGAGAGGACAGTAGGTACACACCTGCAGAGCTCGTGGTCGGTGCCCACCCCCCCAGGAGGCACCTAGGGAAGGGGCTTCCTTGGAGGACAGCTGTGGGGTTAGGCACACACTCTGGACGGGGACTTCTTGAGGCTGGCCACTTGAAGTTTGTTTTAAGGACAGGCACTCCTGTGGGTGCTGTTTGCAGGTCCTAGGTTTTGGGGAGGCCATGACACTTGGTGTTGACTGGGCTCTTACATGTCCTTTATACAATGTGTGTCTGATGGGAGGGCACCAGTGTTGAGCCTGTGTCTCCAGCTATCTTCAAGTTGCGAGAGCTCAGTCCAGAGGAGGGAGTGGGCAGGATGCAGTGGGTGGTGGTTCTAGCTGAGGTCAAAACAGAACTGATTTAAGGGAAGTTCAGATGGGTCTGAACATAGTGGCTGGAACGTTGGGGCACACCTCCCCAGCCCCAAAGAGGGGCTCGAGCAGGAGAGCTGCTGATGGGGGCCAGGGCTATGAGGCTCCCAGCGAGAGGACACTAGGGGTCACTCTTATGCAGGGTCATTACATCTGCAGGACTGTCAGAGCGAGAAGGCTGCGACTCAGCACTGGCCTCACTCCAGGTTCCCTTGCTTCCCACTTGGAGTGGCTGCTGGGAGGCTGTGCTGAACACACTGACCTGGCCATGCCAGCCCGCTCAGAGCTGGGGGCTGCTGTGGCAGCAGGTGGCACAGACCCAGCGGGTTGCAGACCTCGTGTCCCCTGACCTTAAGCTTGACTCTTGGGTGGGAACATGCTTGTTGTGTTGCTCCAGGGTCCCAGGGACATGAGCCACCCACCAAGGCATGTCCAGACAATAGGTGGTGTGCAGGGCAGAGCAGGCTGAGCCTTCTGGACAGGCCCTCCAGAGCCCTCTGCTGTGGCGGTCCAGCCCTCTGGCTGTGGACTTGAAACCCTGTAGCCCGGAGTGTCCCTGGAAGACTGCTGTCATGCCCTTGGCCTCCACTTGTAGTGGTCCATCACCTGCGCACACCTGGAATCTGGCATCTACCTGGCGGCGGCCGGGTGCATTCCTCTTGCGAGACACTCCTGTGACAGGCTGTGGTGGTCGCCAGGAGAAGTACAGAGCTCATCCTCTTCACTGGTCAGGGACTCTTGGTTCCTACTGTTCACATTCTCCTGCACCAGGATGTGACCAGGGGTGTGACCCTGGGAGGGGGTGATGGAGAAGCAGGAGAGGCTCTTGGCTCCTTCCCGCTGGGCAGGGGTAGTGTTCCTGGGGAGATGCGGCTGTGGTCCTGGGTCTCCTGCCGCTGCTCACAGAACTCCCTCATTATGCCCTGGGGCCTGTCCTGCTGTGGCCTGACCTGGTGGGCTGGCTCAGCATCTTGTGGCATTCTTCCTGGAGCTCCTGGTGTGTCTCCTGGGAGTGCACGGATGTAGATTTGCTCTCACCGGATTGGGGGGGGGGGGGGACTGGGTAGGGGCAGGTGCTCATAGTCTCCGTGAGGACCCCTCAGTGGCCGCACACCACCTTCTTGCCTATGTGCTGGTGTCCAGGCCTCCACGTCCTGAGCAGTGTGGAGTGGACGGAGGAGCAGGGCTTGGGCGATGCTACTCTTGTGATTGTGGGGGCGGGGAAGAGGCAGGTCCCTTGAGCCTGGCTGGGCTGGGCTGACCTGGCCTGGGGGGACCTGTCCTAGGTATGTGGGCTGGCCTGGGGACTTCAGTTCCTTGAGCTGGTCATCCGGATCTGGGGCAGGTGTGTGCACCTCTGGCCTGTTTTTGTCTGTAAATGGGCTAGAACCCATCTCCAGTATAAGCGTGTGAAAGTTGATGTCTTGAACCGGGCTGTGGTTTGCCTGTGACACAGGACTGCCCTGCAGGAGGGTGGTCCACTGGGTGGGCATGGGATCGAGAACTCCCAGAGGTGTAGCAACCTCGCCCCTGTCTGAGAGCCCCTGCCTTCTCCCTCTAACCTGGCTGCTTTTCCTTCCTGCTGCCCAAGGAGCCCATGGTCAAAGTAAGTACCACGGTCCTCCACCCCGTGTTCTCTGTGTTGGAGTCAGGGGACCCACACTCTGTCCGTGCTCTGTCACATGGGGCCAGACACCACTGCCTGACACTCCCAGCTTCTGTCCCCATGGCAGCAGGACCTCTGCCTCCCATACCACCAGCTCCTGTCCTACGGAGCTCTGGCTGTCCCCTCCCAAGGAGGCTAGAAGGGCTGAGAACCCTACGCAACTGTGGGGTCCCCCTGCAGGGCAGGAGACAGACAGCCCTGAGCCCCCAGTGAACTCTGGCCCCCCAGGCCAGTGAGTGATGTCACAATGTCCAGCCTCCTGGGCCCCTGTCTGCGTTCTCCTTGCCTCTGCTTGGGCACTGGACCTTGGTGAGCTGGGGACAGCTGTGGGGGGCGGGAGGAGTGGCCCACTCTGAACACCGTCTGGAATGTGACAGCTGAGGGATCCCATGAGGACAGTTGGAGCCAGGTCTTTGGGGGTAGCGAAGGGTCATAGGGGCTACAGGAAGGGACATGACATGGACCAGCCCACGGCCTCTGTCAGTGGTGTGCCCTGCCCCAGCAGGCCGCTCTCCGTTAAAGGAGAAGGAGCCACCTGCACTCCAGCCGTTCCTGGGCACACTCGGGCTAGGAACCCCAGTCAGCTGGACATCGAGACGTCTGTTCAGAGGCCGTCCCCATGGGGGTGTACTCTGTCACACCCCGAGTGGAGCTGAGGCGCGGGGGTGGCCTGTTTCTCAGCCTGCAGACCTTGCTTCTGGACCTGTCCTCACAGGCTCGGGGGTTGGGTGGGTGGGCATGTGCAGGGGCCGCCCCCTTTAGGGGTCCCTAGCTCCTTGGAGAGCACATTTTCTGTGCCTGCCAGCGCCCAGGATGTCCAGTCATGTTTGACTTCTGGTGAATGACCTTCTTAGCATGAGCCTGCCCCTCGTAAATACGCTTAGACTGACAGCCGCTTGTTGGTCACCTGGCAGCTGTGTGGGCAGGGTCCATGGGACAGGGGTGTCTGTGGCGCCTGTGGGAGGGCCGAGTGCAGGTCAGCAGTAAGATTTTAGGAGAGGCTGTGCACCCACACGTGCATGCTCTGCTTTGCTCAGTGGCCCGTGTGGATTTGCCTTTCAAGCCCTTGCACAGAACCCCTCGAAGAAGTGACCCCTCCCGGTCCCCCAGCCCTGGCTGAGCAGAGGAGGAGGGCGAGGGGTCAGAGGCTCACGCTGGGCCGCCGTATAGCAACTGCCCTCTTGTTCTTGCTTTTCACGGCTGCACTGGAAGATGAGGAGCAGCAAGGCCTCCTGCGCCCTGGAGACCGTGTGGGAGGACAAACACAAGCATGTGGACGCTGCCCGCGCCGCCTGCACCCCGCAGCTGCCGGCCGAGGGCGCCGTGAACGGGCCCGGCTGGGAGGAGGCCAGCCAGGTGGAGGTACTGGATGCCAGCAGGCGCCAGGCGGAGGCACCGGACGCCCGCAACCGCCAGGCGGAGGCACCGGACGCCAGCAGCCACACAGACCCACAGAAGGGCCGCTCTGGGAAGGGGCCTCTGCAGAAGAAGAGGAAGCGCTCCCCCCGGAGCTGGCTCGGCCAGGCCGACCTGGCCCTCGTGGGCCTCTCAGCTGACCACGTGTGGCTGGACAAACCACTTTTCGACCAGGCAGAGAGCACCTACCGCCAGAGGCTGGCCGACGCAGCTGCCCAGCCCACGCTGTCCCTGCGGGTCCCCTGTACCCATGGCAGCCAGGTGGCCTGCCACCATGTGACCTGGGGCATCTGGGTCAACAAGTCGTCTTTCGACCAGGCCGAGCGGCTGTTTGTGGAGTGGTCTCAGGCCCTGCTGCTGGCCTCAGAGGGTCTCAGCGCACAGGGCCCCCCTGACACAGGCCAGAGTTCTGCCGTCTCGGCCCTGGCCCTGACCCTGGCCCGCCAGCCCAGCCCACCCACCAACAGCCAGCCGCCCCTGGGCAGCCTGCATGCACTGGTCCGAGAGGTGTGGCTGGAGAAGCCACAGTACGATGCGGCCGAGCGGGGCTTCTATGAGGCCCTGTTTGACGGCCACCCCCCGGGCAAGGTGCGCCTGCAGGAGCGAGCTGGCCACAGCGAGGGTGCCCGGCGTGGCCGCAGGGACAGACGCAGCCGCAACCCTGTGGGGCCCAAGAGGGTAGGGCCACGGCGGCCAGACGGGGAGGCGCCACCGGCCCCGGCCTACGGGTACTTCTTGCACAAAGACTCGGAGGCGCCCTGGCTCAGCAAGCCCGCCTTCGACAGTGCCGAGTGCCGCCACCACGCTGCCGAGGCACTGCGCATGGCCTGGCGCCTGGAGGCTTCCCTGGGCCACCGCCCTGCTCCCCGCTCCAGCCCGTCCGTGTCCAGCCTGAGGCCCAAGTAGGAAACCATGCTGAGTCGCCGTTCCTCCCCAGGGCACCCTGGGCCTGGCCAGTGTCACAGAACAATAGGGCAAGGGCAGACTTGGGGCTGTGGAGAGGTGGGGGCAGGGGGTCAGCACAGGGCAGGCAGCCCCCTCACCACACCACATTGCTGAGCCCCACTCTCAGCAGGGAGGGTGGCCCAGGATCCCGGGCTGGGGAGATGAAGTGTGGAAGGGCCCCTCTCGTATCCGTTGTTCATCGGAGCATCTGGGACAGTCAGCACATGGCCAGCTCCCACTTGTCCATGTGCCCACCAGGGTGGGTGACTGTCTTGGTGCTGGAGGCCATCAAGACTTGGCCACAGTCAGTGGGGCAGATGACACTGTGTGGCCTCAGGTCCACCAGGGATGTATGGTGCCTGCCGGACTCCCTGGGTCCCTGAGGTGGTGGCTTGGGCTCACTGACCCGACTGGGGTGGATTCGGTCTGGGTGGCATCCTGGGTAGGTGGCAAAAGTGGCTGTTCAAAGACCTGAACCCTGGGTTCTGGTGGGCCTGAGGAGGGGGCGAGGGAGGTGAGCATGGGTGGCTGTGAGGGGGTGGCCTGTAGCAGACGTTGACCGGCTTGTGAGGGGCAAAGTGTGAATTTTGGAGTGGTGAAGGCCACATGGGCAAGAGGTGGTCTGCAGAAATGGGAACGTGAGCTGGGCTTACTGACCACTGGTCTGGAGTACGGTCCGCCAGATCCCAAGCCATTCTCATTCACTTGTGGTCACCTTGGGCATCACACGGGGTTCAGGGCTTACTCGCCAAATAGTGATGGACCCGTGCTGTGTCATCTTGGCTTACAAGAGGCTGTTTTCTGTGAGCAAAGGGCCTGCTTGAGGATAGGGGGCTGTGGGTGTGGCTGCCAAGTGTGGACATGGGTGGGATAGGGCCCTCAGACACTGGGCTTTCCTGAGGCCAGGCCTGGGGGCATTTTTGCAGGCCTGTGGTCCAGGTGGAGCTTCCTGTCCTCCATCTGGTCCCCACCTTTGGTCAAGGGCCCTGACTCCCTCTTCCAGGTAGCTCCTCCTGGACCTCAGAACAGAGCCGGACACGGGGTCTCATGGTGACCCCCAAGGGCTCCCATGAGCAGCAGGGAGGGCTGGTGGGTGGGTGTCTGTCCCTGCTGCCGCATGTTGTAGACTGCCCGCTGGTGGGGTGTCGGCCTGAAGTGGGTAGGCAGGGCTTTCCTGCCCTGCTGACTTCACCTCCCCTCCTACCCTGGCAGGAAAATGGCCACGAACTTCCTCATGCGCGAGAAGGTCTGGTTCGACAAGTTCAAGTATGATGATGCTGAACGCAAGTTCTACGAGCAGATGAATGGGCCGATGGCCAGCTCGTCCCGCCAGGTAAGTCCTGGGCCCCCGCACCCCACACCATGGGTGACTGACTGAGCCCAGCCCAGGGCCGCCCACCACCCCGAGCACTGTCCATCACTCCCGACCGCTGGGCTTGCTCGTGGTGGCCGCTGCTGGGCCTCAGGGTGACTCACGGACCACGTCCATCCTTCACTGCTCACTGTCGCCAGCCTCCTCCACTCTGCTCCCTCCTGCTTGCACGCTTTGTGGAAAGCGGCTGTTTTGTGTTTTAATTCCTTTTTTTCCTGGTGGGGGGACAGCCCTGGTTCTGTCTGCACTGTTGCAGGAGAACGGTGCCAGCGTGATCCTCCGGGACATCGCGCGAGCTCGGGAAAACATCCAGAAATCCCTGGCGGGGGTGAGTACGCCCCGGCTGTGGCAGGTCTGCCGGGGGACGCACAGAGGAGGGATGAGGGGTTCGGCCCTCTGGCCTCCAGGCCAGGCAGACTTGTGGAGCACCTTTGTAGCTCGCCTGGTCACCTGCTGCTGGGTCCCTGGAGTGTCCTGCTCTGACCGAGCCGCGCCCATACCCCACGGCAGGCACGTCCCTGTGCTCTAGCACCTTGCAGATTGCAGACCTTACCTGGGAGGTCCCTCCCCCTGCTTGCTCCTGCCTCAGACGTGCTGTTCTGGGTGGTGGTCTCTCCTTAGCCCCCCCAACAGATGGGGTACGGCTCCCATGGGGTACTGTGAAGTATAACATCTACACCCACTCATGCTGGCCTGCCCTGGAGCGCGTGGACATTTTCCTGGGTGACCAGGAATGTCAGACACCAGCAGACACAGGCCCTGCCTCGCCTGCCTTCCTCCAGGACGCTTAGGGGGCAGGGTCAACTCCCCCTTGCTGTTACGAAGCACTCGAGAAAGGTCCTGACAGTTCTGCAGGCCGGGAGCCACGTGGGCTCCGAGTGGCCATGTCCCTGTGGCAGCACCAGAGAGAGTGCTAGCCTTACCCGGTCAGCCTCACCCCTAACTGTTGTGCAGGGACCCTGCCATGGCTCTGCCTCCCAGGCCGGCTTCTGCCTCTGCCCCCCAGGCCGGCTTCTCTGTCACACAGCTCATGCCTTGGTGCCTGAACGTGGACACTGCTAGGAGCTGTAGAGGCTTCTTATCACAGAATGCCCCCCCACCCCGCATGATTTCAGCCCAGATCTCAGCCTAGCCCACTACCAGCTCCATGACACCCCTACCAGGTGGAGGATAGGGGGGGCTCTGTGGTCCAACTTGAGGGCCTGTGAAACTAAATCCATTATTTGCTCCCAGAAAACAACGAGCAGGCTCTCCCCCTCCACAGGACAAAGCAGAAGAGAAGGGTGTCCTGCCCGACTCTCGTAACCCAGCCACACGCCTTAGCTGCCTGCGTGTGGCAGTTCCCAGCTCTGAGGTCACGTCTCCACACTGTTGTGTGGTTTTTCTGCCTGCACTGTGATTGTAGTGTCTGGGGTGCACAGGGTCACTGGGAGGTGGAACCGACCTAGGGGCACCCAGAGCCATCCTCTCCATCTTCTCTGGGTCCCTTTCCTTCTGAGGTCGGGGGCATGTCGGTCTCCTGTGTGTCCCAGGCATTTGACCATGTTAGACTACAGGCTTCTCCAGCGTCTTCCCTGTGCAGCTCGCTCCACTCTGGCTCCAGCCCTGCTCTCCCCACAGACCCCACACTCCTGTCGGCCTATCGGCCATGGTTAGAGGTTGAGACAGGCTGAGAGCTCCCCAAGGTAGCTTCCCTTGGGTCCCAGTGGACCATGTTCCTTCTCTCACCCCACCTTTTTCTGGCACTTAACTTGAAGCAGTCAGGCTGGGGTGCTTTGCTTGGTGCCCATGCCCTCTCTCCAGTCCCCGGGGCCCAGGCCTCCTCCTCTGAGGCTCCTGCAGCTCTGTGAGGGCCACATTTCCATCCATGATCCCACCAAGGCGGCTTGATGTTCTCTAGAAGGGTACGTGTGCGGTACTGGGCAGAGGTGTGTGCCTACGTTTTACTATCAGCCTGGGCAGGGTGGCCTAGGCAGGGTCCTCACCTGTGCCCTGCCTGAGGCTGCCACCTTACAGGTGTTTCACAGCCACAGCCTCTCCCATGCCAGGCCACGGGGCCTGAAAACGTGCACAGGCAGCATTTTGAGCCATGGCAGGCTCTGAGGGCTGAGCTTTTAGGCTGAGGGCCGCTGCCAAGTGCTGTTTTCTGGGCTCTGATGGAGACTCCATACCCCTCGGTCCTGAGCTTCTGGAAGCTGCAGCGTCCCTTGGCAGGGGCCCCCGCCCCTCCCTGACTCTGTCCATCTTTGCATTGCTTTCTCTGACCCCCTGGCCTTTTGCACGCACCCTGTGATAGGGGGGGGACATCTGAGTGAGCAGCTCATTGTTCACACTGTGTGCTCCTGGGCCCCAGGGACGACTGTACCACCTCTGGGAGCCGTCACTGTACTGGCTGCTTAAGGAGCCAGACACCACTTTGGGTGCCCAGTATTGACCAGTGGTCCTGCTCTGCAGCTCAAGGGGGCAGGTACAGCCTATAGGTTGCCCCTCTCCAGGGCTATCACCCTGCTGTCCACCCACTTCCCAAGGCCCTAGCTATGTTGGGCCAGCTACTACTCCCTTGTCTTTGCTCCAGGCAGGTGGTTACACTTTGACCTTGGGCACTAGAAGGGTCTTGCTGGCCCAGCCAGGCTAGAGCAAGTGGTAGCACTCAGTAGAGACTCAGGGAGCCCTGTGTCCCAGAGGACTGCAGGACACCATGGGGATGGGGTGCTGGACCCAGCGCTGCTTTCTGAGACCCCCAGGGAGCTCTAGCAGAGTGGGGCCCAGGGCCCCATGGTGTCTTCCTCCACAACAGAGGGCCCGGGGAGGTGCTGGCTGGAGGCAGGAGTCTTATGACTCTTACCTGGTGGGGCTCTCACCTGGTGGACCCAGCACATCACTGGTAGACGTGGGGGCGGGGCTTGTGCACGGCTTCATTTTTATCATCGTTGAAGGTCTGACGAGGGATGGTGTCAGAGTTCAGGTGGTGACCAGGATATACTAGGGTAGGGTTGGGCTCAGTCTTTACTAGAACATCACGGTGACCAGGTGCTGTGCCAGCGTCTCCATCCTCAGACACCCTAGTGGGTGGGCATGAGCCACTCAGTGAGGGCTGGGCAGCATCTGGACAAGAGGTCACAACCTCAGCCTGCAGGTTGCCCAGGATAACAGGGCAGGGGCCGTGGCCGCCAGGGCTTGCTGCACACTTATTAGCAACATGTCAAGAATGGGCTTGTTGGCTTGTGTACATGAGGGTGGGCCTGCTGGAGGGCCTGTGCGTGAAGGTGAGAGCTCTGGGCATCTGCATGGATGGGAAGGTGTGGGCTCTGGTCATTTGCATGGATGGGAAGGTGTGGGCTCTGGTCGTCTGCATGGATGGCCCCTTTTGCAATCTCGCCTGCATGAACAGCCCCTCTTGCTCCTGGCCTCAGCAGCACTCCCTCTTGTTTCCAGCTCCTGGCAGTGCTGCCCAGCCTCTCTGAGGCCCCAGGCCAGTTTGTCCCAGGCACTAGAAGTTCTCCTCTGTGCTGAGGGGCGCATCTGTCACTGTGGTCTCTCGTTGGACCTTCTCAGACAGCCCATATAGCCAGGTGTCTGTCCGTAGTTGGGGAGCGTGAGTGACAGTCCCTGCACCCAGCTTTGGCTCTGCAGGACGCACGTGAAGGGGACCTAGCACCAAGCCTGGAGGCTGGGTCCTCACTGCCCCTCCCTTGCAGAGCACTGGGGGATCCAGTGGACCTGGAGGGGACCACAGCGAGCTGCTTGTGCGCATCGCCAGCCTGGAGGTGGAGAACCAGAGCCTGCGCAATGGTGAGGGTCTGCGGGATGCCCTGTCCCCACCCTCCCAGGACTCTTGCCCCAGCCCATTCCCACTGGTCCCCCTTGGACCACCTCCCCATCCACTGATACACTGCGGCCCCCACAGTGGTGCAGGACCTGCAGCAAGCCTTTTCCAAGCTGGAGGCCCGGCTGAGCGTGCTGGAAAAGAACTCACCCACCCACCGTGCCACGGCCCCGCAGACCCAGGTGAGCCCGAGGTTGCTTGCTGGCCATGCAGGTCGGAGTGCCCAGGGGCTCCCGCATCCCGCTTCTGACCAGCCCGGCCAGGTCAGGCCTGTGTGGAGGCTAGCCTGACTGCTGGACCATGGTCCCTGGACTGCCCAGTGCACTGTGGCCTGGTCCAGACCCTCAGTAGCCATCCCCCATGCAGCACGTGTCTCCCATGCGCCAAGTGGATCCCCCAGCCAAGAAAGCAGCCACACCAGCAGAGGATGACGAAGATAATGACATCGACCTGTTTGGCAGTGACGAGGAGGAGGAGGACAAGGAGGCAGCCCGCTTGCGGGAGGAACGGCTAAGGCAGTATGCCGAGAAAAAGGCTAAGAAGCCCGTGCTTGTGGCCAAGTCATCCATCCTGCTGGATGTCAAGCCCGTGAGTGCGGTGCTGAGCAGCTGGAGTGGGAGGGGGCTGCAGGGAGGTCCCTAAGAAATACATGTCACGGTGGACGAGATACACCCCCCAAAGACACTGACCAGCATCTCTCCTCTCCCACCCACAGTGGGACGATGAGACAGACATGGCCCAACTGGAGGCCTGCGTGCGCTCCATCCAACTGGACGGGCTGACCTGGGGGGCCTCCAAGCTGGTGCCAGTGGGCTACGGCATCCGCAAGCTGCAGATCCAGTGTGTGGTGGAGGACGACAAGGTTGGCACCGACCTGCTCGAGGAGGAGATCACCAAGTTTGAGGAGCACGTGAGTCCCAAGCTAGGCAGGGCTCAGGCTGGGGGAGCGGGCAGGGTGTGCAGGAAGCCCACTTGCTGACCCTCATTCTCCTCCTCAGGTACAGAGTGTCGACATTGCGGCTTTCAACAAGATCTGAGCTGAGAAGCATGTGCGTGAATTCGGGCCTGCTGCCCAATAAAGACTGTGTCCGCACGCTGGCTCCTGTGTTGATGTCCCTGACCTTGGCCAGGCTCCTGGCTCACCTTCCTCTGGGGTGCCAGGGCCCTCTCCCAGTACCCCTACCTGTGGGCAGCTGGTGTGCCCATTAGAACCGCCCCCATGTAGGTCCTCTTCCTGCAACTCCAGCCCCCTCATCCCCACCTGTGGTGACTTGGCACCCATTCAGGTAGTTTATGCCAGAAAACAGCTTCTGACCTGGAGGCATGGTTACCATGGTCCCATTTCCCCTGTGTGATAATGGGCTCACTGGTGACCGCTCTGAATTTAGTTCTGACCTGTGCCAGCCTGTGTGCCCTCTCTGTCTGGAGGTCCTTTATCTCTCGGGGAGGACTCACCTTTCTTGGGTGAGTCCACGGGAGCATCTGCCCCCGGCTCTCAGCTGCTTGCTGGTCCTTGGAGGAGGGGGCCTTCTTCCCTCCTGAGAAAGGGGCCGAGTCCACCCCTTCCACTGTGGGGTCATCAGAGTGCAGATGGTGCCCTTGAGGGTGCGTGTACCCCTCCTCCAATACTGCTCTGAGCTGGCCTCCAGCACCCCTTCTGGTCTGGTAGCCCTTGGCCTGCCAACTGGTGATAAAGTGGGTGGGGCTGCTTCCTATGGGATAAAACTGGCAAGGCCACAGCCCTGATGATGGTTACTTGAGCACTGGAAGACTCCCTGGGGGTTCTGGGATGCAGAAGCCATTGCCCTGGTCAAAACTTCAGTCCAAGCTTCCTGATGCTGAGTGGGGAAGGCCAGTCACCTTCCCTGGGCCAGCTCCTTCCTGAATCAAGGCAATGTGGTGGACTGCTTGGCAAGTGTCGCCTCTGCCAGGGGATGAGGACACAGTCTAGGGGAGGCTCCCTGCAGCCACAGGGTGGCCACTGTCCTCGTGCCATGGTGTGGGGACGCAGGCTGGGGAGGGCTAAGGCCCAGAGCAAGCAGCTCCCCTTCCAGGGTGTCAAGGTCCTGTTGAAGGCCCACAGATTGTCCTGTACCTGTACCGTTCACCTCGGGAGAGATCACTTCCAAGTTGGCCCCACCCTCTAATCAGCCTGTTTGCCGAAGTCCTGAGTCCGTTTTCCCCAGCGTTGCGCAACGGGCTTAGGCGCGGAGGTCCCAGAGCCTGGGAAACCCGAGCTGGAGCTGGCGGGGAGGCCTTGGAGAACTTGCTCAAACCCCAGGGGCGGGGCGAGGCGGGCCAGGCACAGCCACTGGCTGGGGCGCATCACGCGGAGCGGGTGGGGCAGCCAGAGTCCGCGGGCACCGGGATGGCAGCGGCACGGGACACAGAGCTGGACCCCGATCCGGAGGGCCGCGCGGCCGCACGGCCACTGCTCACGGACCTGTACCAGGTCACCATGGCGTTGGGCTACTGGCGAGCCGGCCGCGCGCACGACGTCGCCGAGTTCGAGCTGTACTTCCGCTGCTGCCCTTTCGGAGGCGCCTTTGTACTGGCTGCGGGGCTGCGCGACTGCGTGCGCTTCCTGCGCACCTTCCACCTGCGGGACACAGGTAGCCACCGGCCCGCCCCAGCCCTGCCAGGCCAGCTGCCCACCCGCCCGCCTCACCCAAGTCCCTGTCGCCTCAGACGTGCAGTTTCTGGCTTCGGTGCTGCCTCCGGACACGGAGCCCGCCTTCTTTGCGCACCTGCGGTCCCTGGACTGCTCCGGGGTGACGGTGCGGGCCCTGCCCGAGGGATCCCTCGCCTTCCCAGGAGTAAGTGTGGACTGAAATGGGGTGTCCCAGAGGCCCTGCCAGGAGTGACAGCATTCCCGGGGGATCAGCCCAGGGTGACTGTTCCCACAGGTGCCGCTGCTCCAGGTGTCAGGGCCGCTTCTCCTGGTGCAGCTCCTGGAGACACCTCTGCTCTGCATGGTCAGCTATGCCAGGTGGGGCTCTGGCGAGATGGGGTGCCCTGCTGGGTACGCCCCCATGGACCTGGCCACCTGGCTCAGAATGGGCGGGTGCTGAGTGTGTGTTTTCGGGGCGGAGCTCAGAGCACTGGGAGTGGGGCGCAGGGGGCGGACCTGAGGCGGCTCCTTGGTGGGGGGGGGGCGGGGCTTTGCCATGGTGTTTTGGGGTTGGGTCTCCATGGGAGGGGGGGCTTGGTGAATGGCGCTTTGGGTGGCATGGTCCTCAGCTCTCCAAAGGTGCGAGTCCCTGGGGGGGAGGGCGGATTCTGCTCCCGGTGGGGTCTGGTGGAAGCGGGTAGGCCTTGGCTTCATGACCTCACCTTGGGTCTCCTTGGGTCCCTTCCTCTCTGCAGCCTCGTCGCCACCAACGCAGCACGGCTTCGCTTGATTGCGGGACCTGAGAAGCGGTTGCTGGAGATGGGGCTGCGTCGCGCCCAGGGCCCTGATGGCGGGCTCACAGCCTCCACCTACAGCTACCTGGGTGGTGCGAGCCGGGGAGGGAGGCCGGCTGGGGGAGGAAGCCCACCCTTCCACCTCAAGTTCCCCCAGCCCTCTTGACTCCTCTACCCAGGCTTTGATGGCAGCAGCAATGTCTTGGCTGGCCAGCTGCGGGGTGTGCCCGTGGGCGGGACGCTGGCGCACTCCTTCATCACTTCCTTTTCAGGCACCGAGGTGCCCCCTAGCCCGGTCAGTAACCATAGAGCAGACCAGAGTTGAAGGCTTCCCCAGAGGAGGGGCAGGCGGCCTGGCGGGGTCCTCAGACCATGGAAACCTTGCCCAGTCCCTCAGCCTGAGGTGCCCCAGTTCCCTTGACCTCAAAGCTTTTGCCACAGATGTTGGCCCCTGCCAGTGGTGAGGGCTCCGCGATGAACCTGGCCACCCGTGTGGAGGCATGGCTGGAGCCTGTGTGTGCCCACTTGGAACTGGGGGTGCAGGTGCCACACCGTGGGGAGCGTGCGGCCTTTGTGGCCTACGCCCTGGCCTTCCCTCGGTCCTTCCAGGGCCTGCTGGACTCATACAGCGTGCAGAGGTGAGGCTTGCTGCCAGGGTGGGCTGGGCAGGACTGACTGTAGTCCCTCACCCGGGTTCTGCCTGCAGAAGCGGTCTCCCCAACTTCCTGGCCGTTGCCTTAGCTCTGGGGCAGCTGGGCTACCAAGCCGTGGGCGTGCGGCTGGATAGTGGTGACCTGCTTCAGCAGGCCCAGGCGGTCCGAGGGGTCTTACGCACCACTGCAGCGCAGTGAGTACCTGGGCAGGGTCTGCCTCATCTGGGTAAGGAATCTCATTGGAGGCCTAGAGGGGTGATCAGAGTGGGGCTTGGGTTGGGATTACCTAGGGGCTCTGTGAGGAAGGCAAGGGACTAGGGCGTCAGGCTGTGCCCAGATCCCACCCACCTGCCTCAGTTTCCAGGTGCCTTGGCTGGAGTCAGTGCCCATCACTGTTAGCAACAACATTGATGAGGAACAGCTGGTCCGACTGACCAACGAGGTGGGGACAGGCTGGAGGGTGGCTGCGGGGGCCTGGGGCCCCCCGGAATCTGGCTGAGCTGCCCTCCCCTCTCCTGTGCAGGGCAGTGAGGTGAATGTCATCGGCATTGGCACTAGCTTGGTCACCTGCCCACGGCAGCCTTCCCTCGGCTGTGTGTACAAGGTGAGGCCAGAATCTGGGTCCTCGGTGGTGGGGAGGCCCTGGAGGCAGCAGGTCCAGCCAGTCAGCACGTACTCCTCACAGCTGGTGGCAGTGGGGGGCCAGCCCCGGATGAAGCTGACAGAGGAGGCTGAGAAGCAGACTCTACCCGGAAGCAAGGCCGCCTTCCGGCTCCTGGACACTGACGGTGAGGCCTGCCCACCTCACCCATTGTCTTCTGCAAGGCCCCAGCCCCAGCTTCATCCTCAGCTCCCCACAGGGTCCCTGCTGTTGGACTTGCTGCAGCTGGCGGATGAACCACCACCTCAGGCTGGGCGGGAGCTCAAAGTGTGGCAGAAGGGGGCCCAGGAGCCGCAGACCGTGAGGCCAGCCCACGTGGAGCCACTGCTGCAGCTCTGTGTCCAGCAGGGACAGGTGGCCATTTCTCACCCCTCAGTCCTAACCTTCACTCTGAATGCTAGCCTTGATTTTGACCCTAAGTCACTCTCAGAGCTTCTCCCCTCCTTCTCCGGCTGTGTGAGCCCCTCCCCTCGTCCTCCAGCCTCTGAACCCTTCCCTTCCACTTCCTCCAGCTGTGTAAGCCCCTCCCCTCTCCTCCAGCTGTGTGAGCCCCTCCCCTCTCCTCCAGCTGTGTGAGCCCCTCCCCTCATCCGTCCTCCAGCTGTGTGAGCCCCTCCCCTCGTCCTCCAGCCTCTGAACCCTTCCCTTCCACTTCCTCCAGCTGTGTGAGCCCCTCCCCTCTCCTCCAGCTGTGTGAGCCCCTCCCCTCATCCGTCCTCCAGCCTCTGAACCCTTCCCTTCCACTTCCTCCAGCTGTGTAAGCCCCTCCCCTCTCTGGCTGAGTCCAGAGCCTTGGCCCAGCTGTCCCTGAGCCGCCTCAGCCCAGCCCACAAGCGCCTGCAGAACCCGGAGCCGTACCAGGTGAGCACAGCCTTGTTCCAGCCCCTCCCCCAGCCGACCACCCGCTTCCACAGCCCCATCACTATCACCCCTGTAGGTGGCATTGTCTGAGCAGCTGCAGGCCCTGGTGGACAGGCTGAGGACGCAAGACCAGCAGTGAGAGTCCAAAGGCGAAGATGGCCTCAATGTAACATGAGTCAACATTACACATCACCACCATGTGTCCGAGTCATTTGTCCCCCTGCTATTCTCCCAGGGTCATCAGGGGTCAGGGACACCACTGCCCACCAGACTTTACGGCCACTCTGTGCCGAGGCCCAAGATTGCCTCATGTCTCATCCATGCAGTGTGCCTCTGTCAGAGGCGGGGTGGGGAGCAGGGCTGTGGGAGGCCAAGGGCTCTGGTGCTCAATGAAGGGTCAGGTATCTACAGACCTCTGTTAGAGGGGGAGCCGGGCCAGAGGCTGGGGCGGGGCGGGGAGCCGGGCCAGAGGCTAGGGAAGGTAGGGTGCCACAGAGTGGTCTGGGTGCTAGAGTGTGGGGCCGGGGGTGTGGCACCTGCCTCAGGCTCTGCTGCCCGGGCTGGAGGAGGCCAGTGGGATCAGACAGGTGTCCTAACCAAGTAGGAAAGGCTCAGATTGCCCCTCTGACTGCTGTAGTCTCAACTCCACTGACCCAGCTCACCTCCCTAAGGGTCTCCTGCCCCCTCTCCCCAGGTCTGTGCCCTAGTGTATGAGGTCCCAGCTCCTGCACCAGCAGCCCCTTCTGTGGACAAGTGAATCCCGGATTTCTGGCTGCTTTGGCAACTTGAGCCCCGGACTGCCAGCAGGGGTGGGCTTGCTGGGCTCAGCAGGAGATGGAGGGCAAGAGGAAGCACAGGCAAAGCAAAGCGTCAGGGTGTCAAGTGTTTGGGGGTGCTTCCCGGAGCACTTCCTCCTGTCCAGGTATTCAGCCCAACTGGCTCAGCCGGCTCCCCTGGGGTTATGCCTGCTATGGTGCTAGCAGGGGGTGGAGGGTAGGATTTGGGGCAGAGGCCCCATGGGGCCAGCCCCAGGGGAGGCAGAGACACATGCGTGCATACACACACAGCCCCTGAGGAAGGTCACTAGCTCCCAAGAGCATCTTCCTGGCCCTCCAGGACCCAAGGGCTCCACCAGGATGGGGACACTTGCACAGGCTTCTCTGGGACCTCTGGTGGCCCAGCCACCACAATGATGTCCTGACCCCACCCTAGGGTGGTGACAACTCCCTGAAATATCTCTGGGATGCCAGCAGGGCATGGAATGTGGGGAGTCAAGCAGCCCCACCCCTAGAACTGGGCCTGATGGCTACCTTGAGGTTGAGTCAGGCTGGGCCAGCTCTGCCATGGCAGCTTCCAGTGCCTCCTGGGGTTGTTCATGTCTACAAGGGGTCCCACACCAGGAAGAACTTGGGCCAGGGTCCCTCTCTGTGTCCTCACCAAGGCCCAGAATCTTGCCCCTCCCAAACTTGTCCCCAGTAGCCTGGACCAGAGAGCCCTTCGGAAGCCACTTCCTGCAGGGAGGTACCTTGCCTGGGGACACCTCTGCAGAGCACCCAGCCCCCAAGCACACAACGCATACGCTCACGCAGGCACGCACCACACCTGTCTGAGGTCCCACCTGCTTCTAGGTCAGGCCAGGGCATGACTTCCAGGAGTGGCCAAAGTTGCCAAAGCAGGCAGGTGCTGCTGGGCAGGCCTTGGGGAGCAGCTCAGAGTCAGGGGCAGCCATAGCTGGGGGCATGTGGGGCCGGGGGGCCCCTGTTGGGGCCCTGACCCTGACAGCACTGGCAGAAGGCATTCGGACAAGCCGGGAGCAGCCTCCAGCACCCCTTCCCCCAGTCACCCAGATGGAGTCACGGGAACCTGAACCACGAGCCCAGGTCCCCGCTCCCGCCTCTGAGCCTGAGCCAAGGAGCACAGACATCCTCACCGAGGGCAGTGAGCCCTGCCCCCCTGCCCACGGTCAGGAGTGTTTCCCTGAGGGAGCCCACCAGGTGAGAGGGGGAAGGGAGGCTGCAGCTCAGCCTGGGGGCTCAGAGTTTCTTATGGGGTCACACTGACCCTGCAGAAGGTATTGGAGCAGGAGTAGGGTAAGGTGAGGGATGCCGAGTTGGGGTGTAGTGGAAGAGTTTGAACTAAGCCAGAAACTAGGGGAAGGTATGTGTGGGGGTGGGGGCAGAGTTGGGAGAGGGAGGCTTGGGGACTTCAAAGATCCCATGGAAGCTTGTTCTAGCACCCCCAGAGTCCTCAGGAAGAGGGGGCCCTAGCTGATCTGGCATTGTATATGGCTGCCTGCCTGGAGGAGGCTGGCTTTTCTGGAACCCAGACAACAGCGCTCACCCTATCCTCAGCCCTGGAGGCCCGAGGGGAGCGGCTGGAGGATCAGGTCAGTCCAGCCCTCCCCTCCTTGAGCTGCCTTTTGTCCTCCAAGCATGCGGCACTCACCAGCTCTGGGGGGAAGCTGAGGTCAGGGCCCAGGGCTGATGTGTGCCCCTTTGCCCCAGGTGCACACTTTGGTGCGCGGACTGCTGGCCCAGGTGCCCAGCCTGGCGGAGGGGCGGCCTCGGCGGGCAGCCCTGCGGGTGCTCAGCGCTTTGGCCCTGGAGCACGCACAGGACGTGGTGTGTGCGCTCCTGCCGCGTTCATTGCCCCTAGACCGGTAACCGCCCACCTTTGCCTCATTGGCGTAGGCCCCACGCAGCTTCTTTCCTGTTCCTGGTTGGTCCTGATGACAGGGGTGCAGGGACAGAGCCCACTTCCTCCCTCCCTGCCCATCCCAAACACTCCCCACCTGTCTTCAGCACCTAGGTGGGCCATGGTGGGGAGCTGGGCTGCTTCTGCCAACTCGCCCCCAAAGTGCCTTGGGCTTTGCTGCTTCATTCTTGGGGTGATTTTTGGAATTCCCAGCACTCCCAGAGCGCTGGCTCAGTGTAAGGGCTGCTGTTACTGCTCATTTAGTTTTTAGAAGATTCTGGGCACCGGGTGCTGGAATGAACACACTCTTCTGGGGGTAACAGTGACCCTCATCCTACCCTCTGCTGGGATCTTTGTCTCACCGCCCCTGTACTCCAGGGCAGTGGCCGAGCTGTGGCGCAGCTTGAGTCGGAACCAGCGCGTGAACGGGCAGGTGCTGGTACAGCTGCTGTGGGCACTGAAGGGCACAACGGGGCACAACCAGGGGCCACTGGCGGTAGGTGGATGCCTGCAGATGAGGGCACCGCCCGGCTGCAGGGGCTGGGGTGTCTCAGGCGTGTCTGAGGCTGTGGCCCCTCTGCACGCCGCAGCCTCAGCAGGCCACTTGTTCGCAGGCCACACGTGCCCTCGGGGAGATGCTGGCTGTGTCTGGCTGCGTGGGAGCCACCCGTGGCTTCTACCCGCACCTCCTGCTGGCGCTCGTCACGCAGCTGCATGAGTTAGCCCGAGGTGCTCACTCCTCTGACACCCCCAAAGTTTGGGTCCTGTCTCAGAAAGGACCCCCACAGAGTCACGCCAGGTGAGTGCGGGCACCAAGGCGGGGGGGGGGGGGCGGGGGGGGGCGCGAGCCGGGGGGTGCGAGCTAGGTGTCTCCTCGTCCCCACCGCTCATCTCCGCATCCAGCTGTGTGGTGGAGGCCCTGAAGGCCCTTCTCACGGGGGACGGCGGCCGCATGGTGGTCACGTGCATGGAGCAGGCAGGAGGCTGGCGGAGGCTGGTGGGCGCCCACACGCACCTGGAGGGCGTCCTGCTGCTAGCCAGGTGAGGGGGAAGGTGGGCAGGGGCTGGGGACCACCTGAGAGTGTTCCTGGGGGTGCTTCGCGAGGTAATGTCCCAAGCGGGGACAAGAGCCTCTCCTGTTCCCCCACAGCGCCATGGTGGCCCACGCTGACCACCATCTGCGAGGTCTCTTTGCCGATTTACTTCCGTGTCTGCGCAGCGCCAATGACACACAACGCCTCACGGCCATGGCCTTCTTCACCGGGGTGAGCCCACTCCCCTTCTGGTCCAGGCGTCCAGGATGGGTGTGCAGACCAGGGAGGTGCTGACTCGTCTCTCCCGCCCAGCTGCTGCAGAGCCCGCCCACGACGCGGCTGCTGGGGGAGAAGGCCATCCTGGAGCGGCTTCGTGCCTGGCAGGGGGACCCTGAGCCCACAGTGCGCTGGCTGGGCCTGCTGGGCCTGGGCCACCTGGCGCTGAACCAAGGGAAGGTGAGGGGCGTGGCTAGGCAGGGCGAGGGGTGGTGTCTGGGGCCCCGCCCACGAGTCACAGCTCACATCCCCTGCAGGTGCGACACGTGAACACGCTGCTTCCTGCGCTCTTGCGCGCCCTTGGCGAGGGCGATACGCGGCTTGTGGGCGCAGGGCTGGGCGCACTGCGGAGGCTCCTGCTGCGGCCACGGGCGCCTGTGCGGCTGCTCAGCACTGAGTTGCGGCCCCGGCTCCCGCCGCTGCTGGACGATGTGAGTACGCTGTCAATGCGCCAGGCCCGAGTGGTTCCGGGAACCCCCTCGGCCCTTGCGCAGCCTCTGCTGCCCCCTCTTGCCCTTAGCTCTGCAGAGCACGCCTTGGTCACACTTCAGGACCTGAGTCCTCTCCCGCCCTCTCCTGCCTCTTCGCGTGCCCCGAGTCCACTGTCTGTCCTCTCCCACAGGCCCGGGACTCGGTTCGAGCCTCAGCAGTCGGGCTCCTGGGGACGCTGGTACGGAGGGGCCGGGGAGGGCTCCGGGTGGGGCTCCATGGCCCCTTGCGGAAGCTGGTGCTGCAGAGTCTGGTCCCCCTGCTGCTTCGCCTGCACGACCCAAGCCAGGACGCTGCCGAGGTCAGCCTCTTCCGGGGCCGCCCTTCTGTACCTAACAACTCTGTACCCAGGATACCCTAGGACTGCAGGTCACGAGCTGCAGGGCCTTGGCCCCTGGACTCATGAGCAGTCTCCAAACTCCACCTCCAGCCCCACCCCCCACTCTCACCTCGGTTGTCTCCACGTCCCACTTCCTGCCCCATCTCCTTTCCTAGAGCTCAGAGTGGACCCTGGCTCGCTGTGACCAGGCCTTGCGCTGGGGCCTGCTGGAGGAGGTAGTGACCGTGGCCCACTACGACAGCCCCCAGGCTTTGAGCCGGGTCTGCCACTGCCTGGTCAGTGTGTGTGTTGGGATGTGAGGTGGGAAGGGCAGTGTGTAGAGGCGTCAGATGACCTGCCCTCCTGAACCAGTGGTAGTCAGTCCCCGCCCCTAGTTCAGCTTGACCATCAGGCTCTGCACAGCATATTTAAGGCTCCAGGGCCTGGGGGCCCCTCTGGAGGACCAACCTCAGGTTCTCCTGGGGCACCTTGACCTCCCAGGGCTGCCCTCCTGTCCTGCATGATGACTTGTATCCTCAGATTCAGCGCTATCCAAGCCAAGTGCCCAGCTTCCTGAGCCAGACCCAAGGCTACCTTCGCAGCCCGCAGGGGCCCCTGCGCCTGGCAGCTGTTGTGCTCCTAGGTGAGGCCTGGGCTGAGCCCTGCACCTCTCCGGCTCCCCCTGCCCTCCCTGCTGGGCTGCACTCACGAGTTCACCTTGCCTCCAGGCTTCCTCGCCCATCACGCCCAACCCAGCGGAGTCAGCCAGGACCAGCTGGACTCCTTGTTCAGGGGTAAGTACCTGACTCCCCGTGTCTGCTGAGGGCTGGGGGGGCAGACATGGTACCCAGACCCTGCCTGAGCCTTCCTTCCTGCTCTGTGACTACAGACCTGGGGCAGCTGCAGAGAGACCCTGAGCCTGCTGTGGTCGCCGCCGCACAGGTGTCTGTCCAGCAGGTGGCATTGCTGGCCGGTGCAGAGAGCTGGCCCCGGAGCCCATGGCTGGTGCGCCTTGCACGCCTGCCCCGCTGCCTCTCCCACCGCCCCTCACGCATCCCACCTGTCTATCCCGACAGCCCCTTTCAGCACCGGAGTGGTGCAGACCGTTGGAACTGCTCCAGTCCTGGTTGAGCCTGCTCCAGGGAGACCCTCAGTCTGCGGGGTCCCCGCCGTGTGGGGGCAGAGGTGGGGCATGCCCTCATCACTCGTGGGGAGGGCACCATGTTGACCTCGTGTGGTGTGGCCAGAATGCACCCAGGTGATCAGGGTCACTACTTCCAGGCTCAGAGACCTCTTTGGTCCTGTGACCTATGCCCATTTCACAGAACTGCTCTCCCCACTGTGGGCCCTCTGTCCTCAGCCACCCAGCATGGCCATCTGTTGGCCTAGGAGCAGTCTTCCAGTCTGCACTCCCGAGCTGGGAGTCTACTGACATTGCACAGGCTCAGGATCCCGCATAGGCTCACCACCGACTACATGCCCCTGGTTGTTGCAGACTGAGGGTAAAGTATTTTTGTAATTATTAATAATGAGAGAGACTACCAGGAATGATGTAGAACAGAGAGCGTGAAAAACAGGGGACCAGCAGTTCTCCTGACTGAAGGCCTAGATTTTTTATTCTCCCTTCTTTCTTTCTGACAATCTCTTTTCAAATGTCCTAATTTTCCACAATTGTAGCATTTAGTTTGAGACAGATTTAAATTTCCTTTTAAAGCAGCAGCTTTTAGATTGGCTTGATAAGAACTAGCTCCAATGTCCGTACAAGCACATATATATTCATCCATGGAGGCGTTCTGAGTCTTCAATGGTCTAATAGCCTTTTGACATTCAGAATTAGCATCTTCATATGCTAAAGTTTTCAACAAAAGCTCACGAACCTCAGGTTGAGAAACTGCTCTATCAATTGCATCTTTAATCTAGATAGAAAATCAGTATATTTTTCATTTTCAGATTGTGTTGTTCTGATAAAGGCTTCATCTCCCTTTCCTGAGATTTCTACTTTATCCCAGGTTTGCATACAGCAAAGCCTTACTTGTACAATCACCGCATCATCATATTGTAGTTGAGCTCGTACTCCAAGCCATTGTCCTCTCCCCAACAACTGATCAGCAGTAACATTAACAGGAGGATTTCTAGATAAATTAATCCTCTCCATATTTGTAGCTTCATCAGTCCACCAAGTTCTAAACTGTAAATATGCTCCAGATTCCAAAACCGTCCTGACCATGGACTCCCAATCGTAAGGAATTAATCTAAATTCTGTAGCTATTCCTTGTAATATGCCCCTTACATAAGCAGAATGCATACCATAAGCAACTATGGCTTGCTTTAATTCTTTGTCTTATAATGACTGGTGTTGATACAATTGATAACCTTGGGGATATTCGTGATCAGGAGGCATATCCTGAATTGTAACTGGAAATACAGAAGCTCCTTTCCCCCAATTAGATAAATCATCTTGCTTTGCCTGTTGCAAAGCCCTGGACATTACTGTTAAAGACTTCTTAAAAGTAGTCACTTCCACCAGAGCATGATTCATATCATTAAATAACGTAGAATCTGGAACGGCTGCTGCTGCTGGAACTGTATTTTTACTTTGATAATATATCTCATTACAAGAGCCCAATTTGTCTATTTTATTAGAAAGTTCCAAAACGTGTTTACTTAATTTCTCATAAGGACTATCATCCTAAAGTATATCGCTCAATTCTTCCGGAGTTGGAGGTGGAGGAAATTCATCCTCCTTTGTATCAGATTCACTATCACTCTCTTCTGAAGAGGATTTTTCTAATTCTTCAGACATCTCCAAAGAGATCAAATCACACAGTAACCAAACTGAAACAGGAATCACATCTCCCTTTTGATAAGCTCTTTTGAAAGTTGACAAAAACTGTTTATCCCCTTCAGCTTTAACCTCTTTTGATGTAACATTACTTAATTCAGATTTGTGCAAAGATTCAGCCATCTTTCCTTGCAAATTTTTTTTATTAGTACAATCCTGCACAGACTTTTTTATTATTCTTTTCAAAGCTCTTGTTGTTGTTGTTATGTGCCATTGAGTCGCGACTCATAGCGACCCTATGCACAACAGCCCTAAACCCTGCTCTATCCTGTGCCAATCGCACTGCCTCCGACACACCCATCCCAATTACCCTAGTCACTGAATCAATCCATCTCATAGAGGGTCTTCCCCCCCTGCGCTGTCCCTCCACCCTCCCAAGCGTGATGTCCCTCTCCAAGGACCCGTCCCTCCTTGCAACATGCCCAAAGTATGTCAGATGAAGCCCCAGAATCCTTGCCTCCAAGGAACCACCCGGTTTAACCCTCTCCAGGACAAATCTGTTTGTTTTCCTAGCAATCCATGGTATCCTCAATATTCTTCTTCAGCACCACAGGTCAAAGGCATCAATTCTCCTTCTGTCCTCCCTAGTCATTGTCCAACTCTCTGATGCATAACAAGTGATTGCAAAGACCATGGCCTGTATCAGGCGCACCTTAGTCTCCAGAGAGACACAGTTGCTCTTGAGTACTTTAGAGAGGTCCCTAACAGCAGACTTTCCCATCGCAATACGTTTTTTGATTTCCTGGCTGCTGGTGCCAAGAGTGTTGACTGTGGAGCCGAGCAAACTGAAGCTGTGAACAATCTCAATCTCTTCACCATCCATCCTGATGCTACCGATTGGTCCAGTGGTGAGAATCTTTGTCTTCTTGACATTGAGCCTCAGTCCATACTGAAGGCTGCAGTCCTTGACCCTCTGCAGCAAGTGCATGAGGTCCTCCTCAGTTTCAGCAAGCAGGGTTGTGTCATCTGCATAACGCAGATTGTTAATAGATCTTCCACCAATCCTGATGCCACAGTTCTCATAGAGCCCAGCCTCTTACTGGCCAAAAATTAATAGGAGTCTGTTCTCTTTTTTGATGTGCTTTTCGTAAAGCTTGCACAACATTTTGCCAGTTTTTAAATTTAACTGCACTTTATTTACCACTTTAAACCAGCGATAGTGTTTTTGTACATACTGAAACAACTGCAAAAATTACTTTTCTCTTACTTCACCTCTGAGCATTTAAGTAACTCTTTAATTAATGTAGTATACTGAGCTTCAGAGGAAGAGCTGTTCCCCAGGACTCCTTTTTTAACTTCTACCCCTGACCTTTTAAGTCGTTCACTTCAGACAGAGGGTGGGGTACTTCCCAGGAAATATTTTCTAATTCTTCCCTCGGCTTTGTCCTTCGAGGGGTGAGAGAATCCTCATGAATTTTTTTCTAATTTTATCCTTAACTTCCAAGGAGTGAAGATTCTCTCATGATCCTGTCTTTAATTTTCCCGAAAGTTTCACTTACCCTGAGCGAATTCCCTTTCGGTTCCTGGTGTGTGCTCGAAAGAAAGAGAAAGAGAAACCACCACCTTATCCAAAGAAAACCCACCGCCTAGTCCCTGTTTGGGTGCCAGAATGTTGCAGACTGAGGGTAAAGTATTTTTATAATTATTAATAATGAGACAAACTACCAGGAATGATATAGAACAGAGAGCATGAAAAACAGGGGGCCAGCTGTCCCCCATGACTGAAGGCCCCAAGCTATGCTTCTCTGAGTATTTATTAAGAATCATAAGGAAGGTAAACAAAGTAAAATCATAGGGAAGTACAAAACAAAAACGAAGGATAATGGTGAAGTCTTTTACAGATAAGGCCAAGTTCCTCTTTATGCTTATCTCAGGAGGGAGGGATTCAGTTAATACAAACTAAGAACACTGTTGACTCTTAGGGAATGCCTTAGTGCCACAAGGGGACCTTCAGTGTGTATTAAGCCACCCTCATTTCCTGATATAGCATTTGGTCTACTATTATTAAATTTGATATTCGGCTTCCCTCACCTGGTAGCATTCTGGGGTTCATGTTCAGTGCCCACCCTGTCCAGGATGCCTGGCCTGTGCCTCTGCCTACCACAGCCGTCCTGCACCCAAACATCACCCTGAAGCTTCCTTTTCTGTCTGTCCTCACTGGCCATTTCCAGCCATGTCCATGGGATTAAGCCTGTGGGATTACCTGTGATGCACGTAGCCACCTGAGCCCCTTGGAGCCCTGCTATTCGCAGCCCAGCAACCTGCAGGAGGCAGTGCTGAGGATGGCTGAATGAGACTAATCCTGAAGTCAGAAGGTGCCTCACAGCCCCTCCACTAGGAACACTTGCATGATCTGTCCGCAGCCTGTGCCACCTTCTAGAGGACTGGCAGGACATCTAGGTGGACACACCTTGTGCCCCCAGCTCCTGAGAGAAAAGTAACTAATGGAGAGCCTGAGGGACTGGGGCCATGCATGACCCGGGACCCGGTCAGGTGTGGTCATACAAGGCAGCGGGTCTGCAGGAGTGAGGGCAGCCTGATGGTGTGGATAAGGGCAGATGGGGTGCCTGTGACAGCCTAGCATATGCTGAAGTGACAGTCTGAGCCAGGACTCAGCTGGGACAGGTCAAAGGTCAGGTAAGGGGACATGGAGCCCAAAGCCAGGCTCAGATCCTCTAAAGCTACTTGGAAATGGACTTCAGTGGGGAATTTGCCAAGGAAACACCTCTGCTTCATTGACAGGAAAGATAGGTAGAGCAGAGGCCCGCAGGGTTTGAGCCCCCGCTTGGGGTCCAGAGCCAGTGGGCGCACTGTGGGACATGAAGCCAGCCAGTCAGAGGCCCCAGTTCTCAGACTACAGTTCCTCTCCATGTGGGGCCTTCAACCCAGGACCTGCCTCTCTGTGGCCTGACTAGTGCCTGGAACTGCCTTAAACTGTCCCCACAGCTGGAGGACTAGGCCAAGCTGAATGTCCATGACCATTCCTCCCAGCACTTGGACCCCTAGCAGAGAGCCAGGGTGGCAGGGACCAGTGGGTGGAACCCACCTCTTCTCTGAGCCACTGCTTGGTGCCACCATCACAGAGGCGGGGCCGATGCTGTAAAGTTCACTCAAATAAAATAATTGGAAAAAAAAAAGAGAGCCAATTCCGTCACACTAGCTGTATGTCATCTCTGAAAAGCAGTGGAGGGATGAACTCAAACTTCAGCGGGAGGATGAGTGAAGTTCTGGCAGATGGTGCAACAGGGAGGAACTGTGGAACCATGTTACACCGAGACTGCGGCCCTAATTACCCTGTGGCTCAAGTGTCAGTCCAGCGTGGTGACCAGTGACTCCAGGGAGTCATTCACCCTTCAGAACAGTCAGTCACATGACATCATAAGGGTGGGATTCATGTAGTCAGCGCTCAGAAGGCAGGCGAGGGTGGGTGATGGGTGAAAACTGGAAACACAGGAAGAACTGGGGAAAGTGCTGCTGCTGTTACCTGCTGTCCAGTATGACTCACAGTGGCTAGATCTGAACCCTGTCCCATCCTGTGCCGTCCTCACAATCCCTGACACCCTCAAGCCCACTGCTCCAGTCACTTAGAGGAGGGCCTTCCTCTCCTTCACCCTCCCTCCACCTCTCCAGTCACAATGCCCCTCTCCAAGGCATAGCCTCCCCTAGCTGCAATGTGGGAGCTGTAATTAATGCTATAGCATGAAATCTGTATGGATGACTGAATGGTCAACCCTACTGCTCTGTAAACTTCCACTCAAGGTACAATTTGGGGAAAAGGATGCATGCATTGCTGATCCCTTGGAACTGACTGTAACCCTGGTGGATGCATGAGACAGGGCCCTGCCGACTTTACAGGTGGAGATCTTTATGGATTTTTTTTTCTTGCAAACAGAGGTTTATTAGGGAAAGTGTTTGGGAAAAGGAGATGTGGAGGGTTAATGCCCCACTACTTTCTCATACTCTGGGCATGTTGCTTGTTGTTGTGCACCATCGAGTCAGAACTGACCAACACCTGAGCCTCCAGCAGGTTTTCAGCAGCGGTTAATTGCACAGGAGGAGACTGGCCATGTTTCTCCTGTGGGTTAAAAAACTTTGTACCTTTGGGATAACACTGCAGCCTTTTACTGCTAGGCCACCAGGGCTCCTGGGCATGTTGCTAGGAGAGGGATATTCCTTGGAGAGGGAGATGATGCTTGGAAAGGTGGAGGGATGACGAAGGAGAGGAAGACCCTAGACGAGGTGGATTGACGTAGTGACTGCAGCAGTGGGTTCAGTGTGTCAGAGAGTGTGAGGATGGCATGGGACAGGCCAGGATTTAGGTCTGTTGTTCAGAGGGTCGCTATGGGTCATACTTGATGGCACCTAACAACAAAAGCCCCTGGCCCTTTCCTTGGCTGTATGAGGGAACTATGGTGGCCTGGTCTATAGGTAGCTGCGCTGTTAACTCAAAGGGCACACTTCTCTGGTGGTTTGAGTCCACCCACAGCTCCACTTGGAGGGACCACCAGCAAGCTCCTTCCATGTGATTTACAGCCTCAGAAGCCACGTTGGAGGCCTCTGTGCATCGGTCCAGACTCCAGGGCAATGAGTTTGCATCTTCTCCTTGGAGCTGTGGGCAGGCGGCCATGGCCAGCCCGTTAGCGCCAGGTGCTTAACCACTGCATCACCAGGGCAAAATAAGGACACAAGAGGACAGTGATCCCGCTCAGAGGAAATGCCAGAGTTTATTAACGGTGACCAGCCAGGGGGGAGGAGTGTGTGTCACTACTCCTTGTTGTTGTTGTGTTACATGGATTACAGCTCAGCATCCACCACAGTAGTTGTGTGTCCCGCAAAGCGGCTGGTGGATTTGAACCTCAGGCCTTCAGTGTTGCAGAGCAACTTCTTACCACTAGGCCACCAGAACTTCCTGCTGAGTTTATGTTAAATGTCATGAAAAAAATGTGAAAACAAATGGTTTTTTGTTGAAATGGCAAATTTTTGCAAACTTTAAGACGTAAAAGAAAGGAATTCAAGGCCGGCCCTCTGCTGGGCACTGTCAGGTGTCCGGCCCCTGGCCCCGTGGTCACTGTGTCCCGCCGGCGCGCCCCCTAGCGGGGAGCCTGGCTCAGCGACAGCAGCAGCGCCAGGGCCGCGTACAGCGCGCATGTGCAGCCCTGGGCCTCTGGCTCCCAGCGCACCTGAGCCGGGTGCGCGCGCAGCTCCAGGCCACACTCCTCCAGCAGGATCCAGACCGGGCTGTCCTCGACCCAGTCATCGCCCAGGAGCTCGGGGGGCAGGGACACGTCCCTGGTCTCCTGCCACGGGGAGCTCTGCTGCAAGATATTCGCCACCTGTGGGGATCCAGGGGGGACTGTTGGTGAGGGATCCCGAGCCCTGAGGCATCCCCAGCCCATTCGTCCGCCTTCCCCGGGGCCAGCCCAGCCCAGCCCGCCCCCCACGGCCACTCACCAGCCCAAGCTGCCCCGGCAGCGCCTGGGACTCCAGTGCCTGGACCAGCAGCACGTGCTGCGTTTCGCTCAGAGCTGGGGAGAGAGTGGCTATGGAAGTTCCAGAAGGCTCCCCGGGGCGCCCCCGCCCATGCTGCCCACCCGGGCCTCACCGGTCAAGGCCTCCAGCAGGAAGGAGACAGGAATGGCCAGCTCGTACACCAGCTCCCGGGAAGGCAGCACCAGGCACTCCAGGACATCGCCCACTGCGCCCTGGCGAGGCTCTGACCGTCCGGAGCGCACACCCTGCTCCAGCTGGGCGAAGGGGGCGGCTGGTGAGCTGGCCGGTGGGTGCCGGCCCCGCGCCCCTGCCCGCGCCCCTGCCCGCGCCCGCCGTCCCTCACCGCCTCCTCCAGGTCCTGCAGGGCCTCCGAGTCCTGGAGCAGCCTCTTCAGGTCCCCCAGGAGCTTCTGGCGAAGCTTGCCGCTCAGGAACTTCAGCTGCTTGGTCTTAGCGTCCACCTCTGCTCGCAGGCCCTCAAAGTCCTCCTTGGTTAGTGACATCGTTTCCTCCACGCCATCTGTGGGTCATTGGTGGCCATTGCTGCCAGGGCCTGGGGAGGCCAGGTCAAGAAGGGCAGGCCGAGCCTGGGCACGAGGGTTCTCGGACACTAACCGTGGTCGAGCCCGAACCCGCACACCAGTTTGCTGGACTGAAACCAGGACTTGAGGCCAGAACGTTGTTCATCTGGGCACACGGGAGGAAGAGAGGCGAGGCTGGTCAGTGAGCTCGCGGCCTGGCCCTGAGCCACGCATGCGTGTGTGTGAGTAGGTGCATGCTTGAATATGCCTGCGAACTTGTGCGTGTGTTTATGTGGGTGCATGCGTGCTTGTGAGTGTGAATATGTGTGAGCGTGCATACTTGTGTGTGCGTGCATTGTGCGAGCGCATGCGTGCTCAGTGGCTGTCTGGGCGCCCCATGCATTCACACCGGAGGGGCTGGGGGTCGTGGGCAGAGGCAGACCTCACCTTGAATCGGCTGGAAGGTTTGCTGCTTCTTGTCCGGGAAGAGGAGGACCCCTGGTGGCCAGGTCGGAGTACAAACAGGAGTAGGTCACTTGTCCCCATTCCTAGCCTCGCCTGCACCCACAGGGTGAGAGCCTGCTCCCAGTCTCAGCACCAGAGCGTTGGCCTTCACCACCCAGACCAGGAAGCTGAGCAGCAACGGGAGACTCCCCCGCCACTCCTCCTCCTTCCACTGACCGCCCTTGCTATCCTCCACACAGCCCGCTGCCCACCCCACAGCCTGTCACTCCCCCCCCACAGCTGAACCCCACATAGCCCACTTTCTCCCATCCCCCGCCGTGCCCCTCCCCCCTTCTTCTCCGCCCTGCTCCCCAACCCTGCTAGCCCCAGAGGGCACCCAGGTCCCACTCACTCCACTCAGGGTCGATAACCAGTTGTGCCACCTGGAAGGCCAGGACACTTCCAGAAGGGATGGTGACCGTTGTCTTCCGACTCGAGTGGCCACTGCCCTCACCCTAGATGGAGGCAGAGTTAGGGTTAGGTGGTCGGGCTGTGCCATGGGCACCTCCGCTGCCGCCCTCCAGCCCTGGCTGCCCCGCCTGGGCCTGGCCTCACACCTGCACGCATTCAGCCCCTGGCAGCGAGAACTGGCCTGAGCCCTCCCGCTTGCGGGTGCGGGTGACCTCCACATCCTTCTGTGTCTGCAGCACTTCCGTCACCACGTACACGTTGTCCCCACGTCTCCGCAGCTGCTTCAGGACCATGTGTTCCGGCTGCCGCAGGTGCCTGTGGTGGGCAGGGCAAAGGTCAGCTCTTATACTTTGGCACCTTCCCTCCGATCTTCCTGGACTTCAAGTGGTCAGGGCCAGTGGAGGTCTGGGGACACTCAGGGACAGGGCAGTCAGCATCCACTGTGGGCACCTGCTGGCTGTCCCCCCCTTCTCTGCTCCTCCCAGGGCTGAGATGGTAAGTCCCTCCACTGCAGCCCCTGGTGCAGGCTCTAGGAACCCAGGCCTTCAACCTGGCCTGGCCCCCCACCCCCACCAGTCCCTTCCTCCTCCAACCCTCATCCACAGCCCCTTGGACCCTTGAGATGATGTCTGGCAGCAGCTGTTCAGTGTTGATCAAGACTCACAGTGACCCTGTGAACAACAGATCTGACCCTTGTCATACCTGCACCGTCCTTACCATCTCCAATGCTCAAGCCCAGTGTTAGTCCCTGGCCTGCCATCTTATTCAAGACCGTCTTACCTCTCTCTGGTCTTCTATTTTTCCCAGCAAGATATCTTTTTCCAAGAATTGGCCACTGCTGACCACTAGTGCAAAGTGAGTGAGATGAACTTTCACTGTTGCCTCTGAGGAGAGCCGTGTGGTTTCACTTCCTCCAGGACAGACTTGTTCTCTCTGCAGTCCATGGAATATTCACTACTCTTCTCCAACACCACATGTCAAAGACGTCAGTTCATCCTCTGTCATCTTTGCTCATTGTCAGACTGTCAAATGTGTAGGAAGCAGCCAAAAAGTCCATGGTTTGGGCCACGGCATCTTAGTCTTTTTTAAAATGACATCCTTGATAACTTCAGTCTTTTCTCCATCTTTCATGACTCCCTACTGACCCAGTGGTGAGGGTTTATGTCTTCTTGATGTTATGTAATCCACACTGAAGGCTGCAGACCTTGATCACCACAGTAAGTGTGTCAAGTCTTCCCTTTCTGCAGGCAAGGTTGTGCCATCTGCATCATGCAGGCTGTTACTGAGTCTTCCTCTGATCCTGATGCCACGTTCATTTCATAAAGTCCAGGTTCTCAAATGATTTGTTCTGCATACAGATTGGATAGGTGTGGGGAGGGACTTCGGCTCTGAGAAACATCTTTCTTCATTTTAAACCATTTTGTGTTCCTTGCTCTATTCGCACAACAGCCTCTAGGTCTAGTTTCACAGACACAGTTGAGTGTTCTGGGATCCCATCTCAGTGCTCGCCATAAGTTGTTATGATCCACACACTCAGATGGCTTCGCATTGTCACTAAAGCACCAGGAAGCATCTTTCTGGTGTTCTCTGCTGTCAGCCTGGATCTGTCTAACTTCAGCAATGATAGCTCCTGTTCCACAGCCTCCTCCGAATCCACCTTGAATTTCTGGAAGTTCACTGTCATTGTGGTGTTCCAGTGATTTAAAAAAAAATAGAATCTTCAATATTTTACTTGTATGTGATACTAATCCGATAATTTCCACGTTCTGTTGGATTATCTTTTTTTTAGAATGGGAACAAATATGGCTCTTTTCCAGCCAGCTGGCCAGGTACCTGTCTCCCAGGTTCCTTGGTGTAGACTAGTGAGCATGTCCAGGGCGGCATCCTTTGTTGGAACCTGTCACCTGGCATGTCATCAGTTCCAGGGGCCTTGCACTTGCCAGTGCCTTCGGTGCACCCTGATTGCCTGCGTGACCATTAGCCTTGGTTGTATGCTACTTCCTGAAATGGCTCAGTGTCGGCCATGTGTGTCTGGTCAGTGACTGTGACTCCTCTCACCCTCTGCAATGCTTCCTGCGTCATCTCATACCATCCTCTGCTGTTGAAACCCGAGACTTGGCTTTCGGTTCTTTCAGCTTGAGAAATGCCGAGCATGTTCTTTTCCTTGAGTTTCACGCTCCAGCTCTTGATACATTTCATTAGAATACTTTGTCCTGATTGTGTTGCTCTGGTGTGCCATCGACTCATAGCTGACCCTCCAACAGGTTTTCAGCGTCAGTAAGTCACAGAGGCGAAGATGCCCTTCTTTTTTCCCTGAGATCAGCTGGTAGATTTGAACTGACAGACTTTGGGTTGGCAGCACATCTTTTTACCGCTAAGCCACCACCGTTGTTTCCGTCCTGTTGAATCAGAACTGACTGATAGCTGATGCTCCAGTGGGTTTTCAGAGCCTGCAGATCTCACAGGAGGAGCTGGTGGGTCCTAATAACCCTTGTGCTGGCTGAACAGCTTCTGACCACTAGGCCACCAGGCCACCACCACAGTTGTTGTTTTTAGGTGCCGTTGAGTCAACTATGACTCATAATGACCCTGTAAGCAACAGACCTGCCTGCATCCTGTCCCGTGCCATCCTCAGCAGCCTGATACTCTCCAGCCCATTGCTGCCGTCACTGTGTCAGTCCACCTCCTCGGGGATCTTCCTCTCCATCACAGACCATCTACCTTTCCAAGCCTGACAACCCTTTCCAAGGAATAGCCTTTCCTGCCAACTTGTCCAGAGTATGAGAGATGAAGCTTTATCATCCTTGCCTCCAAGGAGCACACTAGCTGAATTTTCTCCAAGAATATTTGTTCTTTTGGCAATTCATGGGATGTTCAGTACTCTTCTCTAACACCACAGTTCAAAAGCATTATTTTTGTCGTCCTTACTCATCATCCAGCTCTCAGATGCATAGAAAGTGACTGAAAAGACCATGGCCTGAATCAGGTGCACCTCAGTCCTCAAACTGACATAATTTCTCCACAATAAGAGGTCCCTGACTGCAGACTTTCCCAGTGCAATACGTCTCCTGATCTCCTGACTGCTGGTACCAGTGTCCTGATTGTGGATCCAAGAAAGAGGAAATAATTGGCAGTTTCAATCCTTTCTCCATCTATCATGATGTTGCCTGTCGGCAGTTGTAAGGATCTTTGTTTTCTTGATGTTGAGATGTAACAATTGACTGAGTAGATCACAACAAACTATGGCTAATATTGAGAAGAATGGAAATCCCAAGACACTTCATACTGCTTTTGCAAACTCTATATCAGAGTTCCACCACATTGTGTGAGATCGAGAATGGAGCCAGAAGCATTGCATGGTTGACAGTCAGGAAGGGTACGCACCAAGGATGCATATTTCCTCCGTACCTGCTCCTTCTGTATGTTGTTGTTGATTGCCTTTGAGTCGAGCATGACTCATAGCAACCCTGTGAGCAGAAGGCCTGAAGCCCCTCTACAGCTGTCAACATTTATCGAGGTTCATGGAGTTTAATAATTTGAGAAGCTGGACTCTATGGAGAAGAATGTGATAGAAGGATCGAAGAAGTCTCATCAACAACCTGCATTATGCAGTTAACACAACCTTGCTCACTGAAAGTGGGGAGGACCTGAAGCACTTGCTACAGAGGCTCAAAGACCACAGCCTTCAACGTGGGTTTCAGCTCTGAGGCCCCAGATTGCCTCAAAGCCACCTCCCTTGGGTTTCCAGGCATCTGCTGAGCTTCCATGTCCCAGCACTGAGCCAGTCCCCCGCCCCAGGGCCTGTCCCACCTGGCCTGCAGCCCAGGAGTCCTGACCCCCATGGGTGCTCTGGGCCAGCAGTACCTACCCTGGCCAGTGCCCACCTTTCCTGTTGCAAGGCCTCCCAGGTGCTAGTTTCCACTCGTAGAGTGCACACGTCCATGGAGGTGCTGGAGCTGTTGGACATGGCTGCCCCGCCTGCCAGCCGGCCCTGTCCAGGGCCGCCCAGCTCCACATTTCCCTGTACTTGTCCGTCCACAACATCCTGGAGGTGGAAGGACACGCTTTTCTTCACAGCTGTGGAGAGAGCAGAGCTGCAGTCGTCCATAGCCATCCTGCTCCCCTCCCACCCAGCCCACAGCCATCTCAGTCATAGGTGGGGTACCTGGTTCCAGGCCAGGGGGCTCCAGGATGTCCAGGATGGACAGATTGACACACTCATAGCGGGTTCCGAAGGACCAGGATCTATTGGACTTCCTGCCTACCAGGGAGTAGGGCTGGAATCTGGTGGCGTTCCTCAGGCTGTCCACCGGGATGAACTGCCCTTTGCGGTCCAGTTCCCGCACCACACTTCGGGCCACGCCCTCAAAGGCTGAAGGCATCTCCTGTGAAGGGAATGTCAGGCACCTGGCCCGCAGGCGTGAGAGAGTGTGGGGAGCAGGCCTCCTGCCAAAGGCAGCTTCCTCTGTCCCTCGAGCTCTGCTAATCAGTCCTGGACCGCACTGACCCTTACCAGAAAGTGCACGCCCTTCTGGCCCTGGTGCATGGGCTACGAGGGCACTACACGGTGCTGCTGGGTGGCAGACCTGGGCCTGCCTGGCACTGCCCCCTACATTGCACCTACTGGGAGGGCTGAGGACGTGGCCGTGCCCAGCAGGAGCTGCCCTGGGCTGCCCCCTAACCAGCATTACTATGGCAGCTGCTGTGAGACTTCTCAAGTCACAGCAGTCACAGGGTGGGACGTGGGGAGTGGAGCCATTAGAGGACCATGCAAGGGGGCGCGTCCACCTGGAGGGGGGCCAGCAGGTCTAAGGGCTGCGCAAGGATCTCCCGGAGGGGCTTGGGTCCAGGAAAGAACACAGGAGCCCCACACATGGCCGGCCGGGTGGGGCTGGAGCCCTCCAGCTGTCTGTCCATTCACTGGTTCAGACCACTAGAAAAGGTAAGAGGCCCAAGTGGGCCTGACTTGGAACCCAGGAGGCCTGGGCGCATGGCACAGGACCAGCCACTCTGGTAAGAAGCCTGGAAACTGGATGGTCAGTGTGTGGGTTCCCAGCACAGCACAGTCCAGCCCTCAGGTGGGGTGCAGCCCACGGCAGGGAAGTGGGGTGGGTGCTGAGACTCTGCCTCCCGCCCAGGCCCCCTCCCGCCCTCCAGATGCCCCCTGCCCCAAGCTGAGAACCAGCTGTACCCTGCTTGCCTGGGCTGTGGCCTCGCAGGCTCACTGGGAGAGAGGCCCTGAGGGATCTGGATGCCACGCACAAGGGAGGCCTCTGCACGGAACTGTGGCCGTGATGGCCGAGGTTCAAGTTCAAAAGTGAAAGCAGCTTCTCCTGGCCGCGCCTTCCCGGAAGCGCCCCCACTCCCCAAGGGCCCAGGCGGGAAGCCTTTTCTGTCTGGGTCCACTAGGCGGAGATGTCCAGGGTCCTGTGCCTCAGAGAGGTCTAGTAAGCGCTCTCCTGAGTCAGGTTGTCCCAGACAGACACGGAAGAGGCTCGCATTAGATTTATTAGTGAAAGAAATACAGGGAAGCAGAGTCCTCCAGGTCCCTGAGCCAGGGCAGGGTCACTGCCTGTTTGTCCTTGTCTCCCATTTGGGGACAGTTTCTGGTTGGTGGTGAGGGGCAACTTCTGCTTGTACTGGGAGTGACTGTGGTTCCCTAAGGTCCAGGTGCCTCTGGTTTCAGGCCCGAGACGTGGGAGTGTGGAGGGGCTTTACCCACAGCTGCCACGTTGTTACTGGCTGAGTTCTGTTTCCACGCTGCTTCCACTAATCCTGTCTCCCTGTGGACTTTGTTCTCTCTGACCCTAACAGGGAGCGACCCTTCCCCTTTTCAGTGTTCAGAAAGTCTCTCGACTGGCCAGCGGTCCTGTTGGCAGCCCTCCTGGTTGTCCACCCAAGGGCCTCTGCCAGCTTAGTGGTACGGAGTTACGCTCTTGACCAAAAGGCCGCTGTCTACAGCTGTTCTAACCTACCAGCTGCTCCACAGAAAGTGGGCCGTCTCTGGTTGAGATTCACATCCTCAGGAACCAACGGTGGGGCCACAAGTAGGAACACCTTGAAGCATGAACTTTAGTTGGTTTTACCTGACTCACAAGCCACCAGGATCTGGAGTGTTGTCAAGTCACGACGACCAATAGTGGCCCTGTGAACAACAGATCTGAACCCTGTCCTGTGCCGTCCTCATGTTCCCCAAACCCTTTGAACCTGTTTCCATAGTCACTGGATCGATCCATCTGGTTGAGGAGTCTTTTCTCTCTTTCGCTGACCCCTCCACTTTTCCAAGGATGATGTCCTTTTCCAAGGAATAGCTCCTCCTACCAACATGTCCAAAATGTGTGAGGCAAAGCCCTTCCACCCAGGCTGCCTCCAGGAACACTCTGGTTACACCCTATCAAAAACGTATCTGTTTGTTCTTTTGGCCGTCTCTGGGGTGATTCAGCGCCCTACTCCAACACCACAGCGGTCCCTGGGATAATTCAGCACTCAGAGAGCTGGACAGTGACTAAGGATGATCGAGAGTTGATGCCTTTGAGCTGTGGTGCTGGAGAAGAGTGTTGAATATACCATAGGCTGTCAGGGAAAAAAATAGGTTTGTCGTAGAGAGAGTGAAGACAGGTTGCTCCTTGGAGGCAAAGATTCTGAAGCTTCATCTGACATACTTTGGGCATGCTGCAAGGAGGGACCAATCCTTGGAGAGGAACATTATGCTTGGAAGGGTGGAGGCACAGTGCAAGAGAGGGAGACCACTGATGAGATGGATTGATTCAGTGACTGAGATAATGAAGGTAGGTGTGTTAAAGACAGTACACAGAATAGATCAGGGTTCAGAGCTATTGGACATAGGGTCGCTATGAGTCGCAAGCGAGTTGATAGCACATAACAACTCCCGTACGTGGGATAATTGTACTCTACTCCAATACCACAGCTTGAAGACATCAATGATTGTTCTGTCATACTTCTGCTCTACTCCAATACCACAGCTTGAAGACATCAATGATTGTTCTGTCATACTTCTCTATTGTCCAGCTCTTAGATATATAGTAAGTAATTGGAAAGATTATGGCCTGAATCAGATGCAACTCAGGCCTCAAACTGACATTATTTCTCCTCAGTGATTTGGAGATGCTGCTCACTGCCAACTTCCCCAGTACAGTCTGTCTCCTGTTCTCCTGACTGCTGGTACCAAGTGCATTGACTGTGGAGCCAAGTAAGATGAAGTCATTGACAGCTTCAGTCCTCCTCCCTCTATCGTGATGTTGTTGCCTGTTGATCCAGTGGTGAGATGTAATCCGTATTGAAGGCTGCAGTGTTTGATCTTCTGCAGCAAGTGTTTCAAGTCCTCCTCATTTTCAGCAAACAAGGGTGTGTCATCTGCATAATGAATGTTGTAGAGGAGTCTTCCTCCAATCTGAAGCCACACTCTTCCTCATAGAAGCTCTCTGATAATTTGCACAGTATACAGATTGATCAGGGACAAAGAAAGGCTAGGTGCCCTGGCATAGGTAGAGGTTTCACTTAAGCACAAGTGTTTGCTCTGGGCTTCTGTTCTTCTCAACGGCAGCCATGATGATCATGACCTACACAGTCAACTGCCTTTGCGCAGTCAATACAGGCATTAGGAAGAGGCACATCAATGCCCAGGCCACACACAGCTGCATGTCGGTGAGGATGGCATTAGGTATAGGGAGAGGAAGAGCAGGTGAGGACTGAACAAAGCTCTAGGCCTCTTTGCTTACCACCCTGTGACATGCTGCAGCCTCTGTGCGTCTGTCCCCTGTGGAAGGTGTGCCTTAAACCTAGGGTCTTGATAGCACAGTGGATTCGGGGCTTGGCCTGTGCTGCTGAAAGTTTGGTGTTTCTTGTCCTCCACTACTTCTTGGGAGAAAGTTGGGACATTCTATTTCTGGAAAGACCTACAGCTGTGGAAACCTTGTGAGGTAGTTCTCTGCTTTACAAAATCTCCATGAATCAGAATTGACAGCAGTAGGAATGGGCTCTGAACATCTATCACTTTTGAGATTAAACAAGGAAGCGAGAAAGCAGAGACGGGAGGAGAGATGCCAAACCACACAAAGATCGTCCAGAAGCAGCTTCTTTGTAGATGGTGGGAAGGTGGGACCATGAATAAGGAGCAGCACAGGAGTCCATGCCTTTGAGTTGGGAGCCAGAGCAGAGTGAACACCCCATGGTCAGACCACAGACAGGTGCAGCCTCCTCAGAGGCCGGGGTGATGAAGTGCTGCCTGTCACACTTTGGGCCTGCTGTCAGGAGGGGTCAGTCCTTGGAAAGGACATCATGCTGGGTAATGGAGAGAGTCGGTGAGGACAGGAGGACCTTTGGCAAGATGGACTGACACAGTGCCTGTAGCCTTGGCTTACGTCTATCAGGGCTGGTGAAGGTGGCCAGGACAGGTCACAGTTCGGATGTATTGTTCGTAGGGTCCCCGTAACTTGAAGTTGACTTGAAGACACCTAACAACAATAACAAATTATGAGAAAAAATGTCTGTTTATTCAGGTGGCCTACTTGTGGCATTTCTGTGGTAGCAGCACTGAACAATGAAGACGCCGACACACCACTTGACCAGCAGAAACCCATGTCCATGCAGAAACTTCACAAGTTTCCACAGCAGAACTTGTCACTATTAACTCCAAATACAGACAATGCATGAATCCTCCAGCAGACAGTGGGAACAGGGAGTGAAGGAGATGAAGCTGACATACACTGAGATTTCGATGACCCTAAGTATACCAGTCTCCCCGAAGGGGCAGGAGAGGAGACAGGCCTGGCAGGGTCCTGGTCTTGGGGCCATTTCTCCTTGCTGGGAGCCTGCAGGCTCTGGGTTCAGGGCACCTCCCCACCTGGTGTGGGACTCCCAGCTACTGCTTAGCTGCGGTGGAGTAGGATGTGGCTGGAGACGCCAGGAGGTCAAGGATGTGTGTCCTCTGTAGACGTGCCTGTGTGCATCCGCGCCTGTGTGTTTTGTACATGTGGGTGGAGCTGCGCACTTTCAGCTGGCTCTCTGGCCACCGCAGTCCCTGTGTTTTCAGCCTCCTTATCTCTGTCTTGGAGGCTGGGCTCCCAGCTCCGGTGGAAGGTGGTGGCATCCTGAGCAGGACATAGTGGCCCTGGCTAACTTTCTAAGTAGCCTGTGGCTGTCAGGTAGGTCCAGGGGCTGGCAACAGGTACTATGGGCGAGGCTGAGGTGGGTGACTGGTGCCAGGTAGGTGCCATGCATGTACAGAAGCCTGAGAGAACGTGGCATAACGTGTGTGCTCCCTGCCAAGGACGGGCATGGGGGCCTGCACAGCTGGACGGGCCTTAGGACGCGGCTGGACAGGGCAATACAACCTTAACCCGGTTTACATTCAGCTCTTTTG